GAGTCAGATTTGGAGCCAAATGACTCAAAAATTTAAGTCAAAATTAAATAAGTTTACTTTACTTTAAACCCAGGTTTAGTCACTTTGGAAAACAATTTAGAGGTTTCTCAAACAGCTACAGATAGATCTTCCATGTGATCCAGCAATCCCTCTTTTGGGTATCGATCCGGAGGAATGGAAATCATCACATTAAAGGGATACCTGCACTCCCATGTTCACTGCAGCTCTGTTTACAATAGCCAAGGCATGGAACCAACCCAAATGTCCATCAGCAGATGATTGGATAAGGATCTGTGGTATATATACACTATGGGATACTACTCTGCCATAAAAAAGAATGAAAAACTCCCATTTGTAACAACATGGATGAACCTGCAGAAACTTATGTTGAGTAAAACAAGCAAAGCACAGAGGGATAAATACCACATGAATTCACTCATATGTGGGAGCTAAGAGAGAAAGGGAGGAAGGAAAGAAAGACCACAGTAGTGCCGTGATTCAACAGAGGGAGGGAACATTCCTAAGGCTACAAATAGGAGTGAAGGGGAGAGGAGGAGGGGGAGGGAGGTTAGGTGATAATGGGGAGTGGACAAAGGGTACAATGGTAATATCTGGTAATGGGTATGCCCCAGTATGAATCTGGCCCTCACATCATGGGCAGGAGGGGGGACAATCAGCTTTGTATCTATGAATATCCATAATAAACTAACAAACAAACAAAAAAATAAATAAAAATCGGCATAAATGAATGAATGAATGAATGAATAAATTAATTAATAAACAAACCCAGGTTAGACATACTAACAGGGTTAAAACAACCCTCACCTCAATACATCACAATATTTAAACTATTTAAACTAGCAACAATAGATTAAACAACACTTAATCTATCTAAATTGTGTGAAACTTAATAAATGTAGGCACATTTTCATTGAAAAACCAACTTCAATAATGCTATTTGGGATCCACAGTTAGAATCAGACAAGCTCACATACTTCTCTTTATGCAGTCTTGCTATAAAAGTGAATTCTCATCAAGTTACAAAATTCACAGTAGAATATAAAAGAACTGTGTCTCCAGCTTCCAAATAAGATATTTCTAAAATAATTTGCCTGCCATTTGGGCAAATATATGTGTGTGTTTTGTCTTGACAGCTTGTCAACTGGCAGACAGTTCTTGAACATCATATTCATTTCAATTTAACACTGGTAAATTTCTAAATTAGAATTTTATTTTTCACTTTCCGTACAATTAAATCCCCCGGTCTTTGCTGGCATTCTTCAGGGCATGCAGGTGCAGGTGCTGGCATTTCTGCAGTAGCAAAGGAAGAAAAATGAAAGAAGGAAGGAGGGGAGGGAAGAGACCGACTGAGAGGGAACAGTGGTAATAGGGAGAGAAAGGAGATAGTAGCCGACCTTCATCCTGATATTCACCTTCATGAGAAATGAAGGGAATAATTCACATTTGACAATAAAATAGTGCAGCTGCCTCTGCTTCCTTAACCAGAGAGGCTGGAGTCAAACAGAAACCAGACACCCAATGCATAAAATCGATACATAAGGAAAGGTCCAAAGGTGGGGAACAGATTAATAAAAATAATTTTAAAAGCCACACAACAACTACACCAACAACCTTTTATGGAACACTTATTTACTTTATGGCATTCCTTTTCCTTGTATTTTATCATGCAATTCTCACACAATGAAAGCAAGATAGAAATTACTATCCTTGCATTGTAGCTAAGTAAATTAGGCAATAATTTAACCTCCCTGAACTTCGAAGTCAACCAGATGATAAAGAATGGAACCAGGACTCAAACCCACACTTGCAACTTCAACACATTCCCTGAGGTTTTGGGAAGACATGTCTCCAGGATAATATCTAAATACACACACACACACACACACACACACACACAGATACACATACACACACACATATATATACACTCACATATATATATTTTATATATATGTATATATATTTCGATATATATTTAGATATATACTAAGTATATATTTAAATAAATGAAAAAACTATAATGTTAATGTAAATTATTTCTGCTAGCAAGAAAAAAAATTTAGAAAAAATACATACATATTCACAGGCACATATACACACTGAATTGTGTAGCTAATAATATCTTTAAAATCTTTTCCTTGGCTGAAAATGGCCCTGACATTTGCAGAAGTTCCTGAAGTTTTCTTTTAAAAATATTTATCAGGCACATGACTTATATACACAGAAATGGGAGTCTCTGAAATAGATGAAGACTTGGCATTGAGATGTAGAAGTCATGATAGTGAGGTAAAAGAACAGCTTCCCTATTCATTGTTTATTAGCAATTAAGAAAGAGCATGCCTTATGTGTTGCAGGCACTAATTGTTCTTTAAAACGATGTTACTCTAAACTGGATGAAAAGATAAATTGGTAAATTCTCTGACGTAAATTGATTTGACCAAGCAATAAGAAAAAAAAATATATAGTGTTTCTCAGTTTCTGTTGGTATGTCAAAAAGTGCAAAAACAAAGGTTTTTTTTTTTTACTTCTAGAAAAAGTGTCATTTCAGCCAGCCATAGAGAAGTGACAGATAAGTGATTCAATTTTGATAAGAAGGAGAAAACACACAAACACACACATGCACACAAACACACACACACACACACACACACACACACACGAGGTAGATAAAATGGCTTCCTCACAGGAGAAATATACGCATAAGGTATGAAGACCTGAAATTACTTCTGATTTGCTGCTGCAAAGGGTGTATCTACCAAAGTTATGTTGTAGGTACGTAAGAAAGAAGAGATCAGATGAAGCCATGCTATGAAAAGTCTCCATGGGAGGACTCCTTGGGAATTACTCTATGGAAAAAAAAACACTTATAGCATGTAAGGGAGATCTTTGTTCCAGCATAAATACATAGACTATTTAAGAAATAACTAGGTTAGAATCAAGCATATTATCTGGAATGTTGCTGAGATAATCCAGTGGGAGGCATTAAAATTTGATCTAGGAGAGTGGTCATAAGAATGAAATGAGATGATACATTAAGATTACATTGCACTTAGGAGTAACTAGAATGAGTGATTAAAGGGGCAAGATACCGCTGAGGCTTGAAGAGGTAGAAAAGATTCAACAATATCTCTTAAATTCCGTACATGGGATTTTAGAGTGTATTGGTATGACTGATAAAATCACAGAAGCCAGGAAGCAGAAAAAATAATTTCATAAGGAAATGTAATTAGTTTGATTTTTAATGTGGCGTTTGAGCTGTCGAAACAATGGGGAATGTGGGTTACCAACTTGAGCAGATGGATGGTGCAGGGAATAGGATTTTAAAGGCATCTCACTAAACAGATGGTTAAAGACATGGGCTGACCAAGAGACACAGTGTAGGGAGGAAGAAAGGAAAAAAAGAAGAAATAACAAGAGGAGAAGAGAAACAACAATAAGAGAATGAGGGAAAAGAGTAGGAACAGGAAAAGGTAAGGGAAAGGAGAAGAACTAAAGGAGCTAAATAATCTTCAAGAGTAAGTGAAAAAATAAGAGAAAGTCATTCAAACATAGAGCAGATCAAGTCAAAGAGAAGAACTAGGATATTTCTTTCTTTCACAAATGCTTGAGAATAAGTTATATGCAAATTAAGGCACTTATTCCACCAAGACTTTTTCTTTATTTGAAATTTAAATTCTAGCTAATTTCCATCAGGAATATGATCAACACACACACACACACACACACACACACACGAATATCACATTGCAAAGCTAAAACAGATTAAAATGTCAAGACTACAATGGGGAGGTTAGGTCATGCTGTACTATACCTGATAATGGGCACCACATTTAGCCTTGGAAACCACAATCAATATTTTGCCTTTATTTGTATCTACAATAAAGATGTTGCTGAGGGCACTATCCATTCTTATATTTCTTTCTGGTGTTCACAGCTGTATTTGTAATTTTTCTGAGCAGTGTGTTTTTATTGCATAGAACCTGTGAACAGGGTTCTTGATCAAGTATTTTTCTGGCATATAATTTAATGTCAAATTTGGGGACTTGAAATGATGAATGTTGTATCACATCTCTATTTAACTAACTCTGATCTTCAATTTATATTTTACCTGTGTTTTTTGTCTCACCATCTTCACCTGCTTCTAATTTATGTGACTTTGCTGCAGAGCACACATCCTTATAGGTCATCCCAAATGCAATTTGAAAGAAATTAGGTATATATTACAGACATAAAAATGACTTTTGTGATCATATACTTTGAATTTTGAATCCTGCCTATTACTCTTGTCAGACAAGGAAAAACTCTAAAATTCCTCTTCTTGTATAAAGTCTGAAGTTAGGGGTTTTCTGTAGCAAGGCCAGGGGCTTGGGGAGAGACACAAGATTCGAAAGAGGAGATGAAAAGATTAAAATCATGTTTTGGAATATATATTCCTCTGTAAAGTGTAATAGATGCTTCAAAGATTCAGAAAAAGTGGGATTGGGTCAATGGTGATAACAGTGGCTCCTAAAAAACATTCAATTAAGGTAAAATGGCCACAAAAACAGGTCTCTTTGGTAACAGTGATTGCCTAATCCACTCTAGATGTGACTCACCGACTCAATCCAATATCTGGCTGACTACAGACCTAGACAGTTTTCTATTTCTCTATGTGCTGCATCTGCATGTGAATATACACAAACAAATAATTAAACATCAGCAAATATCAATAGGATTAGCTTGGCATGTTGGAACAAATCTTGATAAATCCGTCTCAGTAACAATACTCAAACTGCAAGTTTATGATAGGAATACAAATTCAGCCTATTGAAGCACTGTCATGTAAGGAGAGATATTTTAATAAAACTGCTCCTCCGTCAGTTCCTATTACTAAGGGACTAAAGCTATTGAGCTGGGGAACTTAGGCCAAAAAGCAGGATTTGGAAATGCAAATTAGAGATAAGACAGTAATAAATGTCTTTTTTTTTTTTCTGCAATACACCATTCCTGATGCCAGGAGCTATTTTAAAGATGACTCTTAATAGCTCTGTGAAATTGGAGGCATACATACCCAAAATGGACATCTCTGGCACTGTAGCATGATAGGGTCCATTAAGAAACTCTGGTGCATTGTCATTGATGTCTTGAACTTTAATAATAAATTCAGAAGGAGGCTCAAGAGGTTTGCTTGTCTCCCAGTCCACCGCCTGAGCTGTTAGTGTATACTCAGCCTTCTCCTCTCGGTCAAGTCTTTTTATAGCATGGATATCTCCAGTTACATCATTTATTTGAAAGATTGTCCCAGCTCCATCGCCTGATAGAATATACTTGATTTTTTTGCTCCCAGGATCCAGGTCTGTGTGTAGCTAAAATGAAAAGTGGCATTAGTCAGTGATAGAACAATGTGAAAAGTTATTTTTTTTACTACTACCTGTTTGAATATCAAGTTGGTTATTTTTACATAACTTCATGAATTCCTGCTAACAGTAGCTGTACGGAGTCTATACAGCTGTATGGATATACATCAAAAATAAAACATAATAAAACTCATCTAAATAAGTTAGAACAGTATTTTTTTAAAAATAGTCTGACCTGTTTAGTATAAACAGACATGCTTTTAGCATGATAAAAAGGTCAAGGAGAAAATACAAAAAGAAAACTATTTTCAATTTACTGAAACATTTTATTTAAAGTTCAACTTATTGATATATTTATTTAAATAATACATACATTTATTTATTATTATTTGGTACCTTTTAGGGATCACTTTCTGCATGCCCAACACTGTGTGAATCACATCACATATTTGATCATTCCCTTAATTTTTACAAGAACAAACAAAAAAATGAGTTGAGAATATTTCATATGAAACACGAGAAAACTGAGGTTCGACAAGGCACATAAGAACTTCTTCAAGGTCTACATTTGATAGAATCTAGTATGGTAGACCCAGAGTTCAACTCAGATCTGCCTGCCATATTTATACAAACAAAAATAATGGTAACAATCTGACTTATATTAAGGTGTTATGTTTTTGTAGGGCTTTTTCCCCTTGTATTTCTTTCTTTTTTTTTTTTTTTTTTTTTTTTTTTTTTTTTTTTTTTGTCTTTTTTCCGTGTCCGGCAACGGATCGCAACCCTCAGTGTTGCTCCCGTACTGGACTGGGGACCGGCAACGGGATCTCAACCCTCGGTGTTGCTCCCGCGCCTTGCTCAGCCAGCGAGCGGGAACCGGTCTGCATGTGGGATCCGAACCCTCGGGCGGGAGCGCCACCGCACCTCCCAAGCGGCGCACTATCCAGTGCGCCACCGGGCCGGCCCTCCCCTTGTATTTCTTATAATTATTCTGGTCCAGGGAAATCGAGGCCAGAATATGGGAGCACATTTTCCAGAAATGGAACCTCTCTGACAAATGACTACATTTGAACAGCAATTAAAATCCATCTCAGGACATGGCAACAAGTACATTGAACAAAATATTTATTGAATTTATGTATCAGGCAAATACTCTGTCTGAAACATTTGAGTAGGTGCTGGGGAATACAGAATCCCTGGTTTTAAAATTCTCAGTTTTCTTCTAAAAGGGAGACTTGTTCTGATATATGGTTCTTCTCTTTAACGCTATGTTGATGTCTGTTAGAAAAACAAAAATAAAATGAGAATATGTAGTTTTTGGTTTGCATTTTAAAAAGAAAAGTTCATTGAGTTACAGTTGCAAAATACTGCACATATTTTCATTTTAATTCAGTTACTTAACTACCAATATAGTTCCATTTATTTCACCCTGAGATTTCAAATATTTGTTCCTTAAAAAAAACAAAACCACAAAACTGTCTTGTGGAAAGAAACTCCTAAAAATTCAAAAGACACTGTGTTCTCTTGGGATCTCTTTTATTCTGAATAGGCTCTATCGCTTTCTTCACCAATTTAAATTGTATTTAGCGCTTCAATAAGTGAAAATAAAGGATTATAAAAAAGACATAAAATAGCAACAGAACCCAAATCCATCAGATCTCCTATTTTATTTTTGAATATTTTAAAAAGTTAAAGCATAAGATTACATCAAAGATTTATTAAATCTCAAAATGTATCCCTTTCATTTATTGTATTAAATTTATTAACAAGAACAAATATTGAAATGCCACTTTATCTTAATTAATGGGGGATTATAATTCATTATGTGATATTAATCCTAATTTATGATCATTTTAATTTATGTGCATTTTAACATTTTCATTAGCATTTTTATTAAAAAAAGAAAATTTGAATAATATATCATTCATAGGGTTTTCCATTCACATAAAAGGCATTCTTGAGACACAGAAGGAATTGGTATGTGTCACTCTTATGCACAACATTTTTGCTAATTAACAAATAAACCACTCAGATTAAAATTATTATTATGTATGTTAGAACTTATTTGTGCCATATTTTCCTTTCATTTACCAGTAGCCACCTCTGATTAGTAAATTCTATTATAATCTTAGGTTTTGATGATCCCTTGTGTTTAAAAATAACTAAGGGATCAGAAAGTAAAAGCACAATTTTTTAAAATAAAACACAAAGCTAAGATTCATGTTTTTCTAACTATATGAACTGTAGAAATTAACACATTTATTTGAGTTTTAGTTACTTTGCCTATAAAATATCCACCCTGCAGAATTGATTTTAGGATCTAAGATTATCCATCTATTTGAAATTTATTAAAAAGTGGAAATGGCTATATTAGTGTTCAATAACTAAAATCCTTTTTTTACTTCATATCATATTCAACCATATACACTTATCTAAAAACATTGTGATAAACTTGGTTGCAATCTAAGTGAAAGCACGTACCCGAGACTTCTATCAAAGATAGCTTTTACAGATGCTGGAAAAAAATTTAAAAAAAAAAAAAAAACCTTTGTAAACATTGTATGTTTCATCCTTCTTCCAAAAATTCATGTTTAGCTAATCCTGGTCATATACAAATATCTGGGGCAATGGTAATCTTGAAACAGAATATTTTGTCTCTAGTTTTGTTAATTTTATCCTATTATTTGTGCACACAGACACACACACACTGTTGCACATGACTTGTTCAGGTAACCAGCCTGACATTACAAAGAAAAGATCATGAGTATGTAAAAATAGCAATTTACAGAGAACAAAGGCATGAAAGATTCCAGGTCTGACCCTCAGAGGTATTCGGGGTACATGGTTACAAGCTGTTGCTTTTTCTGTTCATCTTTACATACATCTGTCAGACCCTGTTCACTTCAATAAAACAACACTACCCCTATTAATTTACCTCAGCCAAGGACCCTCTCTGTGAGATAATGGAGCCAAAGATATCCCAAATGCACTGAACGTTCACACATAGTTCATTATCTGGAAGTGTGAGTACCTTTTCTCTCAAAAGGGCTATTTCTGTTCATCAAAACAGGATAAGGGTTACCTGCAAACTCTCCTGGGCAGGTAAGACTTCTTGGGCTGGCTTTGGTACAAAAAGACATCATTCATTTATTTAATAAATATTTAGAGGCATTCCATGCTCCTCCACGGACTGTGTTAGGGGTTGTGGTAGAGTTATAAATAACACACACATGGTCTCTGCTCTCAAAGAGTTTGGGGGAGATAAAAACAAATAAGCAGAAAATCTAGGGAGGGTATATTCATTATTTTTTATTATTATTATCATATGAATAGATTACTTATTATCTGGTGAACATTTTATAAGTATAAATCTAATGTTATTCTCACAACAAAATAGAGACATTTTCTCTCCATTATACCAATGAACCGATTGAGATTCCAAGATTTTCACAGAACTTTTTCAGAGAATGCACAATCAGCAAGTGACAATCTTAACTGCACACATTTTAGAGTCCATTTCTGGATTTAAATCCATGCTCTAAGAACTACGATAGGGGAAGAACAGGGGGCTGTCAGAGCATATAGAAATTTTACTTAACTCAGAAAGGGGAGTGTGGAGAGATCAAAACAGCCTCCTCAAAGAAGTAATGATTAAAACTTCAGATCTCAAAGAGGGAGAGAAAATGTGTGCCAGGTACAGATACTAGTTTGGATGAAGTTCTCGAGATAAGAGAGAGCATATTATGTTAGAGAAACTAAAGGTGATATAATCTGGAGAGAGCATGGAGTTGAAGAAAAGATGATAGCTGTTTGAGATGATGCTTAATGTTCCTAACCCAAAGAAGTGACAATTTTTTGAGGTGATGGATATCCTAAACACCCTGATATGATCATTGCTCATAGTATGAATGTGCCCACATATCATATCATACTCCATAAATACACACAATCATGGGTCAGTTAAGAAAAGTAAATTACAAAAGGAAAAAACAAAGAGAAATAGAATGTAGAATAATGGTTACCTGAGGCAAGGAAGGGGGTGGGGGGCAAGAGAGGATGGTAGACTGGTACATAGTTATAAAGTCATAGTTGTATAAGAAGAATAAGTTCTGGTGCTCTAGGGTGACAGTAGCTAATTGTTAGGAAGGGGGTGGGGGGCAAGAGAGGATGGTAGACTGGTACATAGTTACAAAGTCATAGTTGTATAAGAAGAATAAGTTCTGGTGCTCTAGGGTGACAGTAGCTAATTGTTTTATATTATTGTGTATTTCAAGATAGTCAGAAAAGAGGATCTTGAATGTTATAACTAAAAGGAAAAGATAAATGTTTAGGTGATTGATATGCTAACTATTCAGATTAGATCATTATATAATATATGCATGTATTGAAACAATGAACTGTACAAACTGTACCTTATAAACATGTGCAATGAAAAAAAATAAATTAAATTTTAAAAAATAAAATTTAAAAAAATATTTTTTAAAAAGAGGATAGAAAGCAAGACAGGGGATGGATGCAGAGTTATGAAACCAAGACAGAGTATTGATTTGACTATCAAAATGACAAGTGATCATAAATACAAGCATTTCAAAAAGGAGCCTGGCACAGTAATAGTTTTGCTGTAGGAACATTGCAGTGGTTGGTGTATGCTCACTAGCAAACTTCACAAAGGCAGAGAGGAAGCAGAGGTCACAGAGAAAACTTAGATAACAATCCACACAGCTGTCTAAATTATGATTCTCAAGTCCAGCTCAGCACCCAGGATCTGCCATATTTACAGCCAGGTGAATCCCAAACAATTACGGCCACTCACTGCAGCCTAGCTGGAGAGGCACAGAATGTCAAGTGTATGATGAGTGATCCCAGTCTTTCCCATTAAGTCATCAGTTTCAGGAACCATAACACAATTGCAGGATAATTGAGCTGAACTGTGAGTATCAGCATCATTACTCCCTCATCATCTTCTTTGTATTTGCATAACAACTCCCAATTAAAAGACCAGTTTTTACTAC